AGGGCTGAGCTGTATCCTGCAGGAATGCGATTTCGAGGTGGCATGTGAGGTGGCCAGGATGTCCGACACACCAAAGAGCATTTATACACTTGGCGAAAAGGATTGCATTGAAAAACTTTCAGAAAAATTGATCCTAGAAAAAGGATATTTTGTTTAACTTGAATTTTGGATTCAAACTATTTTCAAATTTAAATCAAATGTTTCATACCTAAAACATCAAGTTTATGATTAAATTTCTTCTACAACTTCTTTTCCCTTACTGCACATAGAGCTCACTGATGAGTGAGCAAAAATGTGGCTGCTTAATCATGGGGTTGGGCGGGCATTTTGGGTGGCAAGGGAAGCGGAAATGATGCTCGCTGGCAATTTATTTGAAACCGCATAAAACAAGCGACGAGTAAAAATGTATCCGCCGCTGCTGGTGCTGGTGCTGCTGCTGCTTCTGCTGCTGCTCGTGTTGCTGATGTTGCTGTTGCTTTTGGCATGGAACCGAGCGGCTAATGAACAAACAGAGAAGCGCAGATAGGGAACGGAGATGATGGAAACCTCAGTAAACAACTGCAGTGCTGGTAAATAGACGCCGGCAAGGACTTGGCCCGTAAACAGGCTGGGCTGCATAAGCAAAAACAGAAAGGAAATGGCAAACCAAAGCTGCCAACTAGAGCAACGTTATTAACTTGAATAAAAATATTTACTGCCCGTCGAGCACTTCAGTTATCAATGGTGATGCAGAAGCAGCGGCATCAGAAGAGGCAGCTGCAGTTGGCTCTTTACTGATGACAAGTCGAGGAGCATCCAGGATGATGACAATCATGATGATGATGCTGCTGATGATGATGATGAAATGGAGCACTTAGTGCGCTGCCGGCATTTACTTTGGCACTCACTTTTTTCGTCCTTGTTTGCCCACCCTGATTAAAGTTTATTTTAATTTGTTGCTGTTGTTCTTTGCCGTTCTGCTGCGGCTTGGCTTGATGCTTTTTTTGCTCTGTTATTTTTTTTTTTTTTTTCATTTTTGTATACTTTTTTACTTTTGGCTTTTGCCGCACCCCGTTAAGTGGCACAATTTGGTGCCGCTCAAGCTTCATCCCGCCCCCAAACATTTCAGCCGTTCTTCATAACGCATCGGCGCTCAGGCGTGGCCCAAAGTGCACCCAAGTGAGAAAAGAAACCGCGACGCCAGATGGCGGTTGGCTGGCATGGTAGGTGCCAAAAAGTGGGCTAGCACCCCAGGATTTCACCTGGCATTTCACCAGCATCCCGGCTCAAGGTGCCGCAGACCGGCTATACATGCGCGAATTAATCTTAATTGAAATTCCTTGCCGGAAAGTCCCACAGCCCACCAGCATATATGTATGTACGAGTATATACCATATGCCATTTGCTCATGCGGATGTTGGGCCATAATGAAATATTAAAGGATATTAAAATACTCAGGCGAAACACGGATCTTAAAAAGTATTTGCACCGCATTAAATTTCATTTCCACATTTCTTGCCGGCACCCACGCTCAAATATTGACAGTGATGGTAATTCTTTTGAACTTTTCAATCTAGTTTTTAAAATATTTTTAAATAAGCTTAACTTATTTATAAACTTTGTAAGTACCTACACAATACTCAATCAAAAGATTTTAAATAATTTCTATAAAGACGATTTTTAAATAGCAAAAAGGAAAAGATTTTCCACGCTTAAATAAACTTCTTCTTTACCCATCACTGAGCATTGAGGAGTTGGAAAAGCGAAAGCAAAAGCTACAGCAAATACCCAGGCGAATGGATTCCACCTCCTTAAGCTCAGTTTATGTTCCATTAAAATGTTTTAAAATTCAATCCCACATGAATCCCCATACCCCGCTCTCAGCGCTTTGCCAACAATTAAGCAAGATGCTAATTGTTTCACAAAGCATTCGCACTTCGTCGCTTTCCAAGCACCACAGCAGAGTTTCCCCATTATCCATATGTCGGGAGCATGCAGTATGGATCCCCCCATATCCTTGGAAGCGTCCAGCTTAAATTGAAATTTAATGCCAGGACATAAGAAGCTTAAGCCCTCGCTTTTACTCTCTCTCTCTCTCTCTCTCAGCTGGATATGGTTGTACACATGTTAAACACTTTTTTTGCCACCTCCAGCAAGGCAGAGCCTGGCCAGAGTTTTTAGTTTGAAATCCTTTGGCAGATTGCTAACCAACTGCCTGGAGAACCCTTGAACCCTTCCCCTCTCTATCCTTCCTCTCCACATTCAACTCCTACACCCACTGGCACATTCCCCAGTGTGGCTGTGCAGATTCTAATTTGTATGCAAATCAAAATCAATAGGATTAACCAAGTTACATAGTTGGAAGCATTGTCGAGTTTTTCCAGTGCCAGAGAGCTGTTTGCAGCAAAATTGTTTTCTCAAAAATATTTCACCTCCTTCCACACTCGAAGGGTGTATGATTGTATGAGTGTGTGTATGTCGATTGCAGATAGTGTTGGGCTTACCAAACTTTCCTACTTTTCCTCATAAGTGCGAATTTATGTTCAGATGAAGTTACCTGACTTGATTATTAAAACGAGCAGAGGGTCTGAGTATTCAGAAGTGGCCCTGACAAGTTAGGGGGGCCACTGTAGAGGCTGGGCTTTAAAAACAATTGAACGATAGTTAGGAGGATTTCTGAAAATCTGGCACACAAAAATATGGCTTGTTCTCTGGAATATACAAATTAGTTGAAATTGAAGGGCTACCTTAAAGATATTTTCATAATCAGAGTAAAGGTAGAAATATTTCAATTTTCTTTAATTATTTCTAGTATAAAAATGAAAGTTTAAATGATGTTGAAAAGGTTATGATTTATACATTTAATCAAAGAAAGTTTACTTATTGAAACCCCAATAAATTATTATTTTTAAAAGACAGTTAGGAAAGAGAAAAACTTTTCACTTTATTGCGAATTGTTCTTTACTTTCCACCATGAAAATTAAACTGAAAGAGGCGACTGTCGTATATGTGTAAATATTTAAAAACTTTACGGAAAGAATAAAGGGAATTACTTGTGTGTGCGGGTATCTGGCTTATGTTTAGCCAGCGGTTCTGCAGTGCATGTGGCATCCTGACACTTTGCGATTCCACAGTGCAGACATAATCCTCCGGCTATATATATCTCATCCTGGGTCGCATGTGGGTCGCGAATTTCAGCGGTTCCTGTTCCTGTTTCCGTTTCGAGAACCATAATCGCCGATGTCGTCGCATCGGGTGTGTGGCAGTGTGGCAGTGCTTTTGTGGATTCGCGCAGGTGTTCCTGGTAGTTTTCACCATGTGTCATGTTGAATCAGCAACTGCAGCTGGCCAGGATTATGATGCCCGTGCTCGGTAAACGTCTATCGAACCCCGACGAATGGTAATTAATTAATCTAATTAGAACAATTTTTGGGGGTGGCAAAGAAATCTCTCCAGATGAAAACACTTTTACTAATTTCATTAATTGTTTACTCGACTCGCGCAGCCGCATGCCATTTTGCGTACAAGTGGCGCATTTAATTAGACTAATAAAGTAATTCAGGCAGCGAGTGTAAATGAATCAAGCGAGGCGAAGGGAGAACGGAGATCCTGCAGGAATTTCCCGCGCGAACTGCTAATAAAACAGTTATAATGAGTTGCTAGTAGTTGGATATGGCTTTCTCTATATATATATTATGTATATATATATATCCTGGCTGTTCGTTCGTGCCTGGCTCAATAAAATTAAATTACGCTTATGTGTGTGCGTGAGCGCGTTGTTGGCTGAATTTTGTTGCAAGTGATAAAGTGATTAGCACTCTGTGCGCGCCTATGTGATATGCAACACAATTTTTACCCAATGCTAACAACCCTACGTGGCCGTTAAATTCCCGTTATAATTAATTTCATAAATCAAGCTCAATACATGTATATATATTTATGGGTATAAATCATGTAATTAACTGGAGCATAGTCACGACCTGGGTCAACATATGGCCAACGAGCATTGGTCGAAGGACGCAGGACGTTGGCCAATGGAGAGACCAGCAGCAGTGCACCAGTGGAGGCCATGATAAACAAGATATTAACGACTTAATTTACTGCAGACCGTGTGCCGCGGCAAGTGTCTGCGTGGCCATAAAGTGCAGGCACGCAACACAAATATAAATGGTTGAATAAATATACTATGCTATAAGTGAATGTGAGCCAACGTATGATGGTGGCACCCTTCGGATTTCCACATGCAGGATAATTTTCTCGAGTGGCTGAAATTATAATTATATGTTGTTAAAAGCAAACCTCAGGATAATGCTTACAAGTGTCAAATGGGAAAAATATTATATCGTGTTGGGTTTTGTAAAAGAATTACTGTTTTTTTTAATGATAGTTATTAAGAGGTTTATGGATTACAAAACAAACTTTTTCTTGCTAAAAACTTAGTTTTTTTGGCTGGTTTTCAGGGTAATTCTGATAATTTCTTAGATCTTATAAATCACATTAGTAGCCATAACCCATATACCCCAATCAATCGACTGTAGCGCATTTAACTTTGCGTCTCTTGTGTGAAATTAAAACGCTTAACGGTCGCGCAAATTTTCCCGTCCTGACGTCCCTTTTGCTCCGCTTCTCTGTGTACGATAACCGCCAATTTTTCAATAAACTGCAATAAATGTTTATCCATTTATATGCTTGATGCAATTCTTCTTTATGTTGCTACTGTTGTTGTTTGTTTTTAAAAGCAAAGGTTGCTACAAAAAAAAAAAAAGGAAACCGACCGAGTCATATTAATGGCTGTTCTGCACTGTTGGGTAACCACGAACTCTCAGCCTCCCGCTTTCCCACAAAGGAACTGCTGCCAGTTCTTTTGATGTTAAATTGCCTGATATAAGTAAAATATTTTATTCACTGCCAAAGTATTATGGAAGTTGAAATGGGTTTAAGTGGTTTAAGGATGATGAAAATTATTTTTTAATATTTTTCAGTATCATTTCGGGTCGATTATATAATTATATTTTAAAAATTCTTATTATTCTTAAATATTTGTTAACATTTAAGTTTTAGTATTGTTAAGCAAACATTTCAACGGAGCTGTCGATTTTATTCAGCTGTTCTAATAAGACATAGGCCTTGCACTTTTTTATAGTGGATCTAAAGCAGTGACCATAGAAAGGCGCCTCTGTAAATCCTGAAAATGATGTGTAACCTTTAGTGTTTATTCACTGTACTGCCTTAACTTACTATATGAATCCGGTAGCTTGCAGTTCATCATTTCCATCTCACAGGAACTCTTGAAACTGGTGTAGCATCGATTATTAAAGCCGCAAACTGGTCGATCAACCCACGCAGAGCACACCGTACAGTTTGTTTCGCTCCTCACTGCACCCAAATACAAAACTGAATAGCTTGGCTTAGACTAGGTTTTAGTGACTTCCAAATCTGGCCAACTTACCCAATAGAAGCCACCCGAGAACCTTCATGGTCGAGTCTACATGGGAAATGATCTCTTCCACACAGAGCCCAGTCATGAGCTGTGGAAATGATTGGGTGTGGCGAATGGATTTCAGAGAATTTGCATAATCACCGCATGACTCAAGCCGTGGCGAGGCCTTTTACTTTATTACAAATGAAATTAGAAGGAAATTATAATTGCAGTGAGGCAGGAGCCGGGAAAGCAACAAAACTCCCTGGATGTTGCATGTTGCTGCCGGTGGCAAGGAAATGAAAACGCCCCCATGTGAGGCAAAAAGCCAACGACCTGGGCAGGGCAGAAGTAAACTGCAGAGCAGGACGCAAAAAAAAAAAGAAGAAAAAATAAACACACCAGAGTCAGCGGAGGACACCGTGCCATACCAGTGGTCGTCCTGCCGCAGAGCAACTATAAAAAGGACTCCCTGCAACTGTGTGTGTCTGTGTACCGGAGTCTCTATTGGTGTCAGCCGGCAGCTTACAAAGTCAGACGCATGTGTGTGTGCTCGGAGGACGCTCCCAGCTTTTAAGTATAATTTTCCAGATACACAGGCCGAGTCCCGGAGTCCTGTAGTCCTGGAGTCCTAGAGTCCAGGTGGCAAGTGCTAGACAAAAACGATGTGCACGCCCCCCACAAAAACACAGACGCACGGCACAGGAATCAGAAGGACGAAGGACAGCTAAACGAGTAGGTGGAGAAAATTTAATATGATTATGTTGAAGTAAATTGCTTGAAACAAATGTTGCATGGGCATCCGCCCACCGATCTCCACCTGTGCAGAATATACACCTGTCTATATATATCTGGCAGACAGACGATTTCCAGACCTTTAAAAAGCAATTAAGGACAATACGATTTGGCCCTCAAAGGCTTCAAGCTGTCAACGAGTCAAAGCCGACGGGTGGTGGTAAGTGCTCCGCTTATTGTGTGGCCAATGGAATACCTTTCTGGGCTTGAGTGATAAACTTGCAATATAAATAATAAATTTGTAATGGCTTAAAACAAAAATTGTGGGGCCTATTGAAATTTTAACAGAGTTGTTCAAAAGTTTTTCCTCGAGAAAATTGGGGAAACTATGTTGTTGTTTTTTTTTTTGGTAGCTAAGAGGGACTTCCTGGGAAACTGGGTGATAAGTGGCAGCCGGCACAGCATGTGCTATTGCACCAGCCAATATTCACAGGCATTCAATAGCATCGACCGGGTCACAAATTCCTGCCAACATGCCTCTTTGCCACGCCTTCTTTGGGGCGGTCTTACATGCCGCACAAATGGAATTTACAGCAGCGGTTATTGCTACACAAAAATGCACATAAGTTTGCACTTCCACACAGTTTCTTTCTACACTTTTTTCCTATTTGGCTCTACATGGCAGAGATGTACACTGAAAGGAAACTGTGGAGTGCTTATTTCTACAAAAGGAAAATGAGAGAAAAACATTGAGAGTGTTAAACAACTTATAATTCATTTCTTGGTTGTGGTAGGATATCTTTTCTTATGCTGCTTAAGTACTTCTGAACTTAAAAGGCCGCAAAAATAGGATAAAATTCTAATCTACCAAAATGGATCTCCTTTTTTTCACAGTTTGCCATATCAAATTGATTCTAATGAGCATTTCATGTACCCAAACTGATGAAGAGTGATGTTGATGGCTCGAAAAAAGAATGACAACAAATTAAACGAGAGAAAAACGCATCGTTGGACTCATTATTGCAGCCTCATTTGCAGGCGACCAAATAGTGATATGCAATTATTGCAACCATTCGGGGTTTTGTTGGTCAACGGAGTTTGGAATTGGTATCGAATGCGTTGGTGGTAGTGCACTGGCACTGGCTCTGGCACTGGTACTGATACTAATTACCAAATGATGTGCACACGGATCCATTGGCAATAGCGGTAGCGGATAGCGGATAGCGGACACAACAATGTTGTCAATGTCTGCAATGTGGCATGCCACCGTTGCCAAATCAATTGGTTGGCATGCCTGGAAGCCGTCAACAGCCCTTTGCCAATGATAATTAAATTGCACATTGAATTTTAATGCAATTCAATTAAAATATAAAATATTTTTCAATTGGATCACTGAAGCGGTTAGCCCTCGCCAGGCTTCCACGAGCCACGTAATTAAATTAATCAACGTTGCTTTCACTCATTGCCACCGAGCGCTGGCCAAATGGAACGATTCGGCAAAATATATTTCTCATGAATTATTTATTCAAATTGTGACTACTGCAATTTCGTTTGGAATTTCCAAGGCAATGACAGATAGCAGACATGTTCGTACTTATATAATTTGATTGAAATTGGCTTAAGTTTGTCTATTTTGTGATGATTTCCTTGAAATATGGAATTATGTAAGGTTAAATAATGGCAAGTTTGATATATTAGGTTATGGGATTATAGGCATAAGCTTTGACATTCAGAAAAAACTTATTAAAGTTGTCATTTTAGGATTTGTGGTTCTTAATTGTTCATCAAATAAGAAATATTGTTTAAGGGAGATAAGCAATAAGTTGTTTTGATTCCTAAATATTTGTTTTCTCTTCTAAGAGCTTATCTTCTTAGCTGATAAGACACCTCACAGTGGAATAAATTAAAAATTGGAATAAACAAAACAAATTATCTGTGTTTTTCCCTCTCTGGGCTAACCCAAAATGACTCAAAAAGTCCCCTTTCCCCATCGTTAAACTGAAGTCAATGACTTTGGCTTAAATGATTGACTTATTCCTTTCCCAATCAATTGGTTTTTCAGAATTCATTTTAGTTTTTTGTTTTTACCGGTTAACCGCAACTGCAATTGAATGCACAAAACCAAAACCAAACAGAAATTTCTGATGCCGTCTGCGGCTTTGCCTAATCGAAATTAGCTTTGGCCTCAAATAGGCGGTGGCAATTAGCAATTGCCGCGACCAGGTGGGTGATGGTGGTGGTGGGATGATGATTGGTGGGATGTGGTCCTAGGACCTGGACGCCTGATGATGTCACATTCAATTGAGAGCAAAGCCCGACATCCATTAAGCCACTGTGTCACGTTGGAGCTCTTTTTTTTCGGTGGAGTTGCCTGCACAAAAGCGAAACAAAATAATTTAAAGCCTGGATGGATGTTCCATCCAGAGCACAGAGCAGCAAAAAACAATTATCTTCGCACTAAAGCCAGTTACTGGCTGCCGCAGTGGCAAATGATTGACACAAGGCTGACAGGCATTGCAGCGTCTGACATGAACAGGATCAACGGTGGGAGAGGGAACAGAGGAGGAGGAGGAGCCAGTCCCATACCAACTCTGATGTTTTGTAATCTGCTTAAATGTAAAGTTAACAATTTCGCCCATTTGGTCAAGGCAAAACAAAATGCAAAACATTCCCAGTGGCAGTGGAAAACTTTTTGAGGAATGAATGCATACATGGGTTGGGCTGCTGATGTTTTTTTTATTTTCTATGCCAGCAGCCCTTGGCTAAAATGCATTCAAATTGAGGGTCGGGAGTGCTAGCCATTTTAGGCTGCTAGTCTAGTAGTGCCACTTTGGTAAGACCCTGGGGTTTCAGGTCAATGGTTGGGCCAAAACACACAAGCACCTACACAAAGAGCCACTTGAGAGATATCTACCACGGGGCGTATGAGTAATGCACAGCAGGCGAATCGGTGTGGTATGGTGGCAAGTGGGGTAGGTGAGAGATACCAAGACGTTGCGGGCTGTTAATTTGATTTCTTGTCAAAGCAAACGGCAGGTGCCATCCACCAGCAGACAGTATCCAAGGCATCCACTTTTGACTTTCTCTGGTTTGCCGTTGCCGTTGTCGTTGACGTGACAATTTCACACGCAACGCACACACAGAGTCGCGTTTGCTCAACATAAATAAAGCAATGGCTGACAGGAGACACGGGCAGGAGTAATTTTTGGTCCTGTCGCATCGAAGCGTTAAATGGTTAACTCATCTCATTTAGAAACATTAAAGAGGCATCCATGAAGCTGTGCTGTAAGGCACTCAGCAAGATGGTTTCACTGCTTAAAAGTTCCTCCAAAAAGTGCACTTCAAGTGCACTGGTTAATTATGCAAACTGCATTATTAAATACATAATTAAATAGCTTGGCCATTGCATTTGCATACTACAAAAAAGAGGAGACCAAAAAACCACCCACAATCCACTGGCCAATGGCAGCTTAAGTCTTCCGCTTACAAAACCGCTCTGCGCTTCATGAATTTCAAACAAAATGACAGGCGAGTTGGGGGATGGGTTGGACGTCGAGGCACTATACCATGAGCTTCATAAAAATGGCCAAAGCGCATTAAAATCGTGAGCGCATAAAAAGAATATTTTAAGCTAACAAAAATGGCCGCATTCGGAAAGAATGGGCGCTTAAGCTAAAACGCTTCCGCAAAATGGCCGGCAGAAAAGCGAATGATAAGCGCTGTTTTTTATGGAGCCCGGCGGAGCGAGCGATGCATGCATAAAGCTACAAAATGGTGACACATTTCAATTGGGGGAGTTTAAACAGAAGTTCAAGTCGATAATGAAATGCTCTATTAATTTGATTGAAAATAATATAATTATAAATTTAAAGACCAATTACGAATAATTTTAATGACATTTTTTAGATAAAGATTAATATCTTAAAGAAAAACGCAAAGAACAAGTCCACTTACCCTACACAAAGTGATATAGAAAATTACTGAGCTGATAACTTAATTAAAAAAAAAATGTTTTGTAATTTCCAAATTATAAAATTTTAAGGCAAGAAGTTGCAAAGTTCGAAGTTATTTATTTTTAATAATACAAAATATTTTTAGGGCAAGTTTGTAGGTACTGTAATTCATTATGAATTTAAAGATTATGGATTATATAGATTACATAAGGAAAGTGTTTTTATCAACCGATCACATATGCCTTATAAAAATTTCAATGATACCCTAAAACGAAGGAGTGGTAACTCCACTAAATCTTGAAAAACTTTGGCTACCTGGTAGCACCTGGTTGGTTCTCTTTTCAGGGCATAAATCGCTTGGTCTAGTGCGGGGATAAAAATCAACACCGAAGAGCTGCGCTTTTTAGCCTTGCCACCATAGAAAGCTTCATGGTACACACAAGCACACACATGTATGGCTGTGAAATTGACAATATTTCACTGGAAAAAGCCGAATTTAGTTGCAGTTTGGGATCCGTTTTGCCCCATTGAACTTTGCCGTTGATTGCGGCAGCCCCTCTATAAAAAAAAAGAAGAGATGAGAGCCCAAAAAAAATATATAGCCAGCCGCAAGGGGTTGGCCTTTCAGCTGGGCTCTTTAAAAGCTGGCTAAAAGCAGTCAGAAACGGGTCAGAACGGGCCAGAACAGGTCGACACTTGGCCCTTTAAGATGGGAAAAAATAAAGCGCAGCCAGGCGTGTAAAATGTTATCGCAACATCAAATTTCATACATCATAAAACATATTGGCTTAGAAAGTAACAATTTTGATTGCGGTAAGACGGAACACAGAGAGACGGGAGCCCTTTTGGAGCAAGCAGGCGTGGCATGCAATGA